GTGACCATGAAGAGAATCATGATTGTTTAACGGATCATAAGTGTAAATTTCTTTGCCACTTCACTGAAGTTCACAACGAATCATCAATTCCAACATGTAGTTATATAGCTGGACATGAAGGTAAACATGCTTGCAATGAAGCGAATCATTTGTGTGGTAAATCATGTAGTCTTATCGATAAGCGTAATTGCCAACAAGTTTGCTCAAAAGAAATCGGACATGTTGATGAGCATATGTGTCAATCATCACGTCATTATTGTGGAGAAGCATGTTCATTATCAACGACAACTCAGAAAGGAAATTATCATTGTCTTAATAAATGCATTATACCATATGAAGAAGAACATGATTTACATCATTGTGAAAATGAAACGTGCCCAATTCAATGTCCAATTTTAGATTGTCAGAGAAAATGTCAAAGCAATGAACATTTCCACTCTAATTCTAATTCGCAAGTAGATCATTTTTGTGGGTATGTATCAGTTTTATAATGTTATTTGCATTCTTTGTATATATGTAATTCATTAAAATATTTATGGTTTAAGAAATGAACATCAATGTCGAGAATTATGCGAAGAAGCTGGTATATGCAAAGTAATAGTCGAACCAAAGAAGCAAGAGGAGGTTTATAAAGGGTTAATTGCAGAAACTTCTATTGCATTTACTAAGGTATAAATTTATTAATACATTTAATTACGTGATAAGGTAGGGTTATTAACTTTTCATTTATTGTCATAATAGTATATTCAATTAAGTGAAAGGTTGAGGTGTAACAAAAGAATTCCTCCCAATGAGTTTAATCATACTGGAAAGCATATGCATCATTCAAACGATGATCTTACACAAGATGGTTTTCATTTTTGTGATGTAAAATGTCAATTCTGTGAATATTTTGTATGTAGCGTAAAAAAAAAATACTTTTATATCCTTGATTTGTTTATAAATATATATTAAAATCTATATTGTAAAATTAGTGTACATTACCATATGGGCACCCACAAATTCATAGCACAACACATGGAAATATGATACAAACTGAGTTCACTAGTGAAGATAATGAATTTGAATATGCAGGGTAATGTATAAAATAATATAGGCTTATTTGTAATTATATTAAATTAGACAATTATTAAAATAATTTAATTAGGCATAAATTAAGAGTTGGTGATCAAGGAACTTTTGTTCTTTGTAATTTGGTAGGCTACTGAAATTTTTTTATTTACATTATTATACAACTTATAATTTAAAAAAATCCTTGCATTATAGTTTTGTAAAGATTCAGGAAGACACCGTCATATTAGTTATTGTCAAAATAAAGAAATTTGTCAAGGACAAGATATACAGCATATTGATGGTAATGTAGACTTTTATTTTTAAACGTAAAAATGCATTAACGATTAACATTAAATAAATCGTAGGACAAGTACAACCTAATCCTAGCAGACCAAAAGATTTTATTTCTCACAAATTATTCTGGGAACGAACGGGTTTTAAAGGTAATTCATATTAAATAATTTTGTATGATACTTTATATATACATATAGATTTATTTTTTTCAAATTTTAGATCCTTATTCTGCTCAAGAACAACAAGAATTTGCGAAATGTGATCATGAATGTCCTGATGAAAAGCATCATACTTCTAAGGGGACTGCAAGCGAATCACTAACTAAATCATTTTGTGAATTATCACTTTTTCATGCTCCGCTTGATTCTCATTCTAATCCTCCTAATGATAATGGATACATATCCTTGGATGGGCATCATTTTAACTGTGAGAATCCAAGTACACGTGAAGCCGCTTTTCATATTATCTTTGTCTTGGATCGTTCAGCTTCTATGGGAGAACAAGATAGAAAACCAATTCTAGACTATACAATTTACAATATTTTAAAGTTCAGGAATCATAATAATAGGCTTGGCGCGGTATATCATGCGGTATGGTTAAAATTTTTTAATTATGCTTTAGTCTTTATCTTTAATATTAAACTTTTTATGTTAGGTTTATCAATTTATGGATGCACGTATAAATTCTGTTCAAACAAATCAATATCAAGTCAATCATGATAAATTATCATTGATCTTATTTAATCATGAGGTTTGATCTTTAATATCGTTAACATTTGAATTAAAAATATTTTATTTATACTAATTATTAATAATTATAGGTTATCGTTCCGTTTGAGAATCAAGATCTAACTGATCCGATGAAATTGTTAAATAAAATGATTGAACACCAACCTGAAGGTGGAACGCGTTTCACACTCGCAATTCAGAAAGCAGGATCTTTGATTTCATCTTACCACGATCCTTCAAGGTATTGGTTTAAAAAACAAAAATGTTTATTAGTGCTTTTAGTACAACTACAACTTAAAAATATTCTTATTTTTTAGAACAAATATTATTATCTTTTTATCTGATGGAGAATGCAACGTACCAACAAGTCAGCTTCATGATATCTGTAAAGAAAATCAAACAAGAAGGTAATTACTTTTAAATTTATGTATTATAAAATAATTTAATTTGTATCCTAATTTCCTTTGAAAACTTTCAGATCCCCATTATATCTCTATACAGTATTATTTAGCAACGACTCAAACAGTTCCTCCTTAGAAGAAATGGCGAAGATCGTGCAATCTTATCACACTAATGATATATCATCCGGTGGTTTGCGTTGTCAATTTACTCGAGCCATCAATGAGATTAATTTAGTAAATCACTTTACTAGCGTTGCTGAAAGTTTACGGAAACATAAGCCAACTTTGTTAAAGAAGGATCCTATTTTATAATTTTTTATAATTTGATGATGTTTTTTGGTGGTTAGCTCATAAATTATAATTTTTTTTTATAAACGATTTAAATCTATTTGTGGATGTATTTATTTATTTATGATTAGATTTAAAGTTTATGTTATAATGTGAAGAACTAAAGCTAGTTTTTTTTTTTTCGTCTAAAATTAACTTAGGCTCACACACTATAAATGTGGCCAGAGTTGTCAAAATTTTCTGTAATCATGAAAATTGAATTTTGTCTAAACTGAAATAATAATTTAAATAGCAAATTATATATTTTATTGATTTATCTAATAAAATTTTATATTATTTATTTTATTTTTTAATTCATTTAAACTTCTTTCAAAATGTTTTTAAAATCTAGAAATTATAAAGAAAGAACTTGAATAAAAATCTTCAATTGTGAACAAAGTTCACTTGTTCGAGGCATTTTATTGTGTCTAATGAAATAAACAGTTTAGAAAAATCAAGCGAAGTTATAATTTATCGTTTAAGAACTACTGACACAAGCTCGCGAAAAAAATTTAACTGAAGAAAAATTAACACTTATCAATATTGTGGCCCGATGCGATAGCCGGCTCGGGGGAAAAATGCAAAAATCGTCTTATACTTCAAATGCGATCCAAACCATCTTCACGACCCCTGCTGTTATAGTATTTTTTTTTTTTTTTAGAATATAATTTATTGACAGAATTGCGAGAGGTGCATCTCGAGATGCAAGAACCCAACCTAAATAGTCTAAAGAAGCAAAAAAGTTAAATGTTCAAAAAATAAAACCATGCTGCAGGTGATAGATTCTCTGAGAATTCAAACAATTTTTTTATTTTTTATAATAACATATTGCGTAGTATATTATAAAAAAAAATTAATAAAATTTTCGCATCATATTTGTTTTTTACTCTGAAAAAAAAAAGATTAATTGCGTTTGAACTAACATAAAGTTACATATTAGACTTGACTTCCCTCTTCCATGTTAAACAAATCATAAATCATCCTTTTAGATAATTAATAAACGTACAGTTAATTAAATGTCACTTTATTAATTTTCCTCGATACAAAAAAAGTTTTATTCGAACAATTGTCTATTTGATACCTTTTTTTTTTTATAATTAATACAAATTTAATTTAATGCAAATTCAAAATCAAAATAAATTTTAACCTTCCTCATTTGGAAGATAAAAAAATTGAGATATTTTTTTAAAAAGTTCCCTTTGCTTTTAACGTTTGTATTATATCGCAAACTAAAATTATATATAATTACTGCGCCCAAACGATCCGAAATTAAAGGTTACTAAATTATATGATTGCTGCATATTGAAGCAACCATGTCTTTATTATTCTCTTAACTAAAAGTAATAAAAAAAATAATATTAATTATATTTGTTGGTGAGATCATTTATAATATAAAACAAATTTATATTTATGTTTATAATAGAATAAGTATTCTTTCTTTATAATAAATAAAATATAGTAAAAAAAAGATCCACGGCAATATAGAAACCTCAATATGTTTGAGCCAGCTCACTAATGTAAGCTGGTGTTAATTTTGGGTTTAATGTCTTTTAATTAAAAATATTTAAATATAAAATTAAGATATTTTTTGCTTAAAATCTTTTATATTTTATTATTCCTAGTTAATAAATGTATAATATTAAGAAAATAATATAAAAATTTAATAAAAAAAGTATTGAATTTATAATGGTTTAATATTTATTCTATATAAAATATAAATTTTGTATTATTATACACATACAAAATTAAGGACTTAGACTTATAAATTATTCATTTGCAGATTATTTCCAAATCTGACGAATAAAAGTCGAGTGACAAAAATCGGGTGATAAAATCGGGTGATAAAGTCGGGTGATGAAGTCGGGTGATAAATGTCGAATGATTGTTTTTTCATCGATGAAAAAGGTTTAAGAAAATAACGTGATAAATTACGTGATTGATTAAAATTTTCTCGAAAGAAATTTAATTTTCTTATTTATAGACATAGTTTTCTACTTCGTTTGTGATTCAGGGGAAAAAAAAGTAAGTTATGGAAATTAATTTGTTTGAAATTATTTATTAGTACCTTTGTTCAATGTGTTACTTTTGTTTCAAAAGTAATTTAATAAAGCTGTTCCCTGCGAAAATAAAAAGTGAGTTGCAAATTGTTTATATTATTTTTATAAGATTTAAATATTCTTTCTTTATTAAAATTTAGTTCCCTTTTCCACTTCTCAATTGGGTAGAAAGAAGTTCATGCGAATTATTTGGAGCGTCTTGGCAATCAACGGTGTGGCAACCCAAACAAACAAAAAAAACTCATGATGAAGAAAATTTGACAATCATATAATCAACCGATTCGCTACAAGGTCTTGAAAATCGAAACGATTTACAAGGAACTAAAGTTAGAGCCGGAACGATTATAAGGACTTTAAAATTGGCAGGAACAATTTTTGGAAGGGCAATGACAAAATTAGGACAAGGTACATTTGTTCTCCCAAATCGAGAATAAAATTTAGAAAAAGGTAAAGATTAAAATGATCTTTGTAAAAAAAAAAAAAAGAAAAATGAGACTAAAATTGTTTCGTTTCCGTTTCGCAAATACAGATTACTTTCTTTAATTAATATTTTTTTTAGTTAGTGGCTGTTTCTTAATTGTTATTTCTTTTAATATAAACCCATTTTTAAGTTAAAAATTTCTCTTGAAGACTTAAAATACAGTTTAATATCATCAGCAAGGAATAATTTTTGAATCAGGAACGAATGAATTCTTGGAAGCGACAACGGACATTTGCGAGAAGAAATCCGAACATTTCGACGAATACTTTCAACTAATATTTCGTCCTTTTTCTTCAGCAAAGTGCTGTTGCTAATTACTATATTATCAATTTTTAGTTTCTTTTGGACAGAGCTGTTAAATGCGCTTTCCTCGGGCAAATTTTTAAAAATTG